TTTCTGTTATTCCTTATTGGAGAAATGCTTAAACAGTGCTCTAGTAGTCCTAAAATTAAAAAAAAATGAATTAAGCGGAGCAAGAAATAAAGGAAAACATAATTAGGAATATTTCAGTCCATTAAATCCTATACATTCCTTTCCAAAACTACAACTGCACCTTGTCAGTATGATAGTTGTCTTTATCAGTTCTTTTATCTACTCTGTTGATAGAAGTGGGTGAAATAATAAACATTTGTAATAAAAATAGACAACGGGGATGATAAGTGGTAAAAAGAGTTGAGGACGAAACAGATAAGTAAGAAAAAGTAGCTGCAGAATCGGCAACCAATGAAAACAATAGCTACCGAGTTATTATTTACCAATTTTTAATTCCTTTGTGATATTAATGAAACTGATAGGCGCAAAACAAGAAAGGATAAAATAATTGTCGGCCCACTGATGGCTTCAAAAAATGCGATGATGAAACAATAGCTGATCTAATTGCCAAAGTGTGTTCACACCCTAAATTCATTTTATCCTTCCCTACTGGAAATTTTGTGCATGTTTAGTCTGTTTATAAAACCCCCATCAGCTTGTCTGTAAGCTACGTTCGAGTAAGGAATCCATTGACAGTTCTACCAGCGTGTGGCTGCTATTGGCATTCTCTACTTTTGGGATATTTCCGAATCCATTCCTCTTTCATAGAGAGCGAATATCATGGAGTCAGTTCTGACTCAGAAATGTCTCATTCAGGGCGGATACCTCACAGGAAACGAAGACTAATGGGTCAGCAATTTTGGACGAGGAGGCGGCTGAAAGTTCGGATGTTGTTCCTGCGTCAGAAAATGACGTGATCTCAGAGCAGTCTACTTCCAGCCCGCACCTCCCTGCCACGCGTGCAATGGAACCAGATGAAACAGCAGCAAAAACAACGTTAGCTTCACGCATTTTTATTACCCCAGTATTCCCATATGGCTAAGAAGCCTTCTTAGCTTTCGTACAGTGAGATTAGCGTAGCTTCTGTCTTTGTTGAAGAAAAAATGGAAGGAAAGTGCCAGAAAGGTGACCGTTGATACTGAGTATGACTGGAAAAACGTAAGCGGCTTTTATTGAGACGAAGGATTAGTAGCAGACAGTGAATAAGCTTTTTGCGTATAGGAAACGTTTCCGAATTTATTTTCAAGGCAAATTACGGCTGGCCATCTAAATATTGGTAGCATATCATCAGGATTACTCGGGTTCTCAACGTACTATCGTGGATGTTGATGAGCATACTGCTACGCGAGCATGAGCGGAAAGTATCGTATTAAATTTCCTTTCATTATTTTTATAATATTTTTTGGGGCTGCAGGCCGAGTATCTACCCCGGTGAGCAGTTGAGTGCTATGCAAACAGTGCTGGAGCCGCCACCATCCTATAGCGAAGCAATAGGAGAACGTGATGGTGCCACTATACGTCCCACAACTGCCTGGAAACCGCCTGCAGTGTCAATGAAAAGCAGGTATTGTGCTCATTCTCTTCATTTTTTCGAATTTGATCTTTAACTGCCACATCAGCTTGCTTGAAAGCAGCCTTTGAAAAAGCAGGTTTTTGTAGCGTTAAACAAAGTGTGAAGTGCTGCGCAAAAGGAGTTTGAAAATACACATCCTTACGATTAGATTTACCAGCCTGGAATAAATCATGAAATTTATGACTTTGAGCTATTGGGCTGTAGCGGCTTATAGTGATGCGTGAGGCCCTGAAATGTGACAGCTAAAATATCACGATTTGTAATATTCAAAGTGATGGAGATAGCGCGTCTGATTTCTTCACTAACCCAAAGCCTCATTCACGACTTTTACTTGACAAGGCATGCATAGAATAAAGCTTTAGATGCGTATTTGAAATTTTTGGTTCATAGTTTGGTTTTCCAGTTGGTGACTCTTCATTTGCTTTATCTTGTGCTGCATTACTTAGTAGACAGCTTGCTGGCGATCGTGACGTTCATTCCGTCTCACAGCTCTCCCATCAGAAGTACCTGGCAAGGCCTTTTGCAATTCGAAATGCCTTTGGGATGTGTTGAGCATCATTACCTCGTCTGTAATGCACGATGAAGCACCGCACCGATTTTGAGGGTTTGAATATATTTGGATAAAATTAAATTTGTAGAAGCGGTGAGGTGGATGGACACGCTATGCATATTTATCCATCTCTACGCTTGGAAACGAACGAGTACGGATTGTTAACG